GTGCTATACTTTTCCAATAAGGTGCTATACTTTGTCAATAAAGTGCTATACTTTGTCGTATAGTGCTATACTTTGGCCAAAAGGTGCTATACTTTACCATAAGGTGCTATACTTTGCCCAGAAGCTTCAAAATTGCGCGAGGACCCCTCGTCGAGGTGGATAATTGGTCACGCAACACATGACGTAGGCGAATATAATATATCTCTTTTTCTATGTAACAACATCAACTCTTATACATAAAACATGACCTCTGAAAAAACTGAACCTCATACACATGAGACATATATAAATGTTGCGCATCAACCAAATATCGCAAAATTATCCAATAGCACTAGTTTTGGAATAGAACAATACCATGAGCTATGAATGTACACATTTGATACAAAATACAAGATCTGAAACACATTTCATAGACATATAACCACTGGTGGCCCTTATAACATTATCGTATCAAATATCCGAAGCAAGCAATGAGCAACTGCTGACATGTTTACACTTCTAGATGAGGCGCTTCGGAGTTTACTACTTTAAGGCTATATATCTAGGCTATTCAATTTCTAATTATTCCTCAATAAAGAAACATGTTTCATACTCAATCCACATTCGGTTCCGAAACCAATGTATTCATGATTACAACATGCACAATAATTACAATATTTTCTAGTAGATTTTTTTGATTTCTCCGAGACAAATGCAATCGCGATCTTTCCTCCTAGAAGTTCATATTCTGATGAATGAATGAAGGTGTGCCATTGATGATGGAATATATGTATCCCATCATGAAAATGTTACAATCTACGCTCCTGCACAAACAAATGCCACAATCAATGATTGCATGATAAGAAAATTTTATTAACTGTCAATTCTAACTTATCGTGTATTTCCAAAGCAAAATACATGAAAGTAATATCGAGAAACGCTAGCATAAGAGGCTTCATATCACTTTCAAAGTAATCATCTATAAGCTTTTATGCAATATCAATTCCAACTTATCGTGCATTTTCAAATCAAAATACATGAAAGTAATATCGATTTTGATGTCGTAATGCTTCAAATTATCAAAACCCACAAGAACAATAAGAATCTGAAGGACCACCAAGCAATAAGAAAATTAGAATTTTTATGTTGCAACTCGTCACCATTCCCAACACCAACAAGTAAGAATAATCACCTAGTAACTCTGTACGCCTGCAAAAAGAGGGTGGATTTTCACATCAATCATCAACTCCAAGGAAAATTGTATTCATAAATGCAAGTAAGAACATCTCGCTGGCCACCGCCCGAATCTGATCCCTAACGGATCCGGATTCTTCCAGCTGGACCCGAAAATCCTCGAACTGCTTCTCCATGAAAGGGGACGGAGAGGAATCGAGAGCTGAAGAAGAGAAGGAGGAGGAGAAATGGGGGGCCCCCTCAAGTGGGGGGCCCTGTTCTACGGAACCGGAAGTTCCGCCTCAGCGGCGCCCCTGTTGGTGGGATGTTCATCTGCTTCAAGGTCGACGGTGGTGGGTGACGTGGCGGCGAGGGGAGATAGGGGGCGATGGATACAGAGGTTGATGGGCTTGAGGGAGGAGGGGAAGTGAAGGGAGGGGAGAGGAGGAGGTTGGTGGTAGTGGTTGAGGGAGAATAGGAAGGAAGAAGAGAGCTCTGGGCTCAGTTGGAGGAGGAGGAGAGAGGGAGAGATCAGTTTGGGAAGAAGGGTAGTTTAGGATTTTTTCAAGTTATTGGATAAATACAATACAAATAATGGGTGTATTGTACATTTGGGTTTAAAAATAAGTGGGATGGGATATAATGGGTTTATTGATGTTTTGAAAAGTGAGTGGGTTTTTAAATAAGTTGGGGTAAAACTTTGGGTTAAAAGAGGATTTTCCCTTAAAAAAAAAACCCGTTTTCCCTTTTCTCGTTGGAGCCCTAGCGAGCTTCGTCGTCTCTCTCCTCTCCCATCCTCGCTGTCGATCTCTCTTTCAAAATGAAGCTCGTAAGGTACACTGAATTACATTATGCTGAAATTATTATTATTATTATTATTATTATTATTCTTATGTTGTTGTGATATGAAGTGAAATGATTTTGTTTGGTTCGTTCAAAAATTAGGTTTTTGATGAAGCTGAACAATGAGACGGTCTCAATCGAGCTCAAGAATGGCACCATCGTCCATGGAACCATCACAGGTTTCTCTCTATCTACCAGCTAGGGTTTTATTCAGAAGTAGAACTGCTTGTTTGTGATTTCTCAATTTAGGGCTACTGCTTCTATTTGAGCACAAAATTCAATTTTCAAGGGGCTTTCTCAAATAATGCTTTATGTTAGGCTTCTTTATATTTGTAGTTTACACTACCGGATCTGTTACGTTGTTTTAAATAACAAACCCGAGTCGAACAAAAATGAAGGTTCGGAGGCCTAAGATATACTTTAGGGTCCAATATGAGAAACACCCTTGAGTGTTTTACATTATTAAGTTGAATTTGGGATAGGAACCTTTGATGCGTTATATGATGCAATTAGGTTTTGTACCGGGATCAATTTGCCATTTGAAAATTAGATAGTGCTTTCAGTCATGGACTTTAGGCATTTGAGACCATCAAAGTTTTGGTGCAAGCTACGTGAAGGGATGGGTTCGTGAATAGTGAAGTCATTGGTTTGGTTGTAATTATTTCTTTTAGAGCCATTATAATTATGTAGGAATTTCTCTTTTGACTTATCAGCTCTATGTAAGATGAGATGTAGTCGTAAAATATATAAGAATACTCTAATAAAATATCATGAAAACTGTCATATAAGTTGATGCTCCTGAGGGGTTCAAACTGTAAAACCTGCTCCTTACATTCACAGGTTGTACTTGTTTCTAGGTATTTCCATCTAGAATAGGATCCAAAACTGTTATTGCAATTTCCTTGGTTGTAGGAGCACTGTTATAAATAGCGGTAAATAGCCTCGCAATAGCGGCGCTAATAGCATTAGCGGTCCCTTCCCGCGACGCTATCGCCCGCGACGCTATCGCGCAATAACGGTGACATATTATGGAATGTCTGTTCGCAAAAACGGTCAATAGTGTGTCATAACGGTAAATAGTGAGCGATTGCATTCGAATTTTGCTTTATGACTGCTATTTAAAAGCGGTTTGATGCTTATTTTTTAAAATTAAACTCAATTCTTGACCATTGCATCCTACCGTCTCCTGTGATTTTCAGCATACTCCCACCACCTCTCATAGCCTCTAACACCTACCTTGATACTTCCTCTCACATCCTTCACCGTGAGCTCCTCTTAGGGCAATCCTGTCACCGCTAAGCTCTTCTTCTCGAAGACGATGACTTTTTAACTCTTCCAGTCATCTTTGGTATTACGTGATTATTACATGTCTATTTCATATTTAGGATCTCTTTAAATCATTCAATATGTACTTTTAGATTTCGTAGATTTTTCTTTAATTTTTTTAAGTATTTATACATATCTAAATTAGACCGCTATTTGACTTTGCGCTTTTTACCGCTATTTTGCCGCAATACCCGAAATAGCCTTAACGATGCCTCACCGCTACGCGACGCTATCCGTTATCGATAACCTTGTTATATTAATTCACATCCTTCACCGTGAGCTCCTCTTAGGGCAATCCTGTCACCGCTAAGCTCTTCTTCTCGAAGACGATGACTTTTTAACTCTTCCAGTCATCTTTGGTATTACGTGATTATTACATGTCTATTTCATATTTAGGATCTCTTTAAATCATTCAATATGTACTTTTAGATTTCGTAGATTTTTCTTTAATTTTTTTAAGTATTTATACATATCTAAATTAGACCGCTATTTGACTTTGCGCTTTTTACCGCTATTTTGCCGCAATAGCCCGAAATAGCCTTAGCAACGCCTCACCGTTACGCGGCGCTATCCGCTATCGATAACCTTGTGTAGGAGTTTGGAAGTATAGTGTAATGACTGCAAAATTACTAGCCTATCACTTATGTAGGTCTCCTATCCCATTAAACTGTTAGCATTTACTGAGTTTGGTATATGTGTGCTTTCTTACTTATAGAAAACTAGGCGGTAGTGCATATTTAATCTCTCATTTGTCAAAAACCATATACACTAATAAATTGGCATTGATATGCATTGCACATATAATTAAATTTTCTTCTTTACAAGTTTCTTATTTTCTATTTTCTTATGCTATTATTAGCACTAGAACAGTCTTTATACATGTATGTTCTTGCGTGTCCTCATGATGCCTCATGGTTCTTGTAGTAATCTAGTTTATTCAGAAGGCCTTAACTCGCACGAAAGAATTCTTTTTTCTTTCCCGAACATTATAAGCGTTTTTGGTCCCAACGGTCTATGACAGTGAATGTTTTCTAAGGCCTGCACCTCACTGCGTCTCTTGCGCTCTGCGATGCGGGACGGTGGCGAAACGTCTCACATCTGATCTTGTAGCACCTTTTGTGCCTCGCAAGCATCTTGACTTGCACAAGGTGTACGTAACCTTATATATTTTTGTTCGTTAACATTTCAATTGAGTCTCTTTATAGTCGATAACCCATATCCCAAAAGGCAAAATAATCCATTAGGCCTTTTTAGTAGCCTTCAATTGAGGGCCCTAATTAATCCTCTTTAATATTTGATTTTGCTTGGATATTTGTCTTGATTTGACATTTGATTTGAAAATTATGAACTTTACTACTATGTTAACGCATTAGAAATTATGACCTTATAGTAAGATATTATTTATCCTGACATATTTTTTATGTGACTTCCTAAGCATGATCTTTGTGCTTGATTATCTATCTTGAAAAATTATGTTTATGGTGCACGCCTCACATCACTTGGGTGCACGCATCGCAATGCGCTAGGGCATGTCCGCGTTAAGGTACTTTGCAACCTGCGTTGTGCCTCGCGCATTGACAATAAGCATAAACGCTTCGCGAATTCCTTGAATTACAACTTATTTTGTTATTCATTATAATAAAAGTTTTATTGTCAACATCATTATCAAACCTTCTGAGTTCGTATGTTGGTGCTTATATGACATCCTTTCTAGTTTGACTACTTTCATTGTTCTTAATAGTTAACAAGTTTGAACGGTATAGTTTCCTTCAGGAAACTCCTACTAATTTAACTCACATCTTTATGAAATCTGGCTGGTGGAGTTGATTTCTTTTCATACCTCTTTTATTTCTCTAAGTCGCCCTTTATAATATTCTAACACCTTTATTTGTTGCTTCTCCTCTTCCACTTTGTACTTAGCATAGATACATACATTTCTTGTAGGTAGACTATAAATCATATTTGAGGGTTATAAAAAGTTACAAGATGCTTGTGCTTGAAGTTTGTAGCTTTTAATGCAATTTTGGCATGTCCCAATGAATGCAATCTCCACTTTCAATTTTTGATGACCCTCCTTCTGGGAAAGACACATGCATCTGACTATTTGAAATTGGAAAATTTCTTTACTAGGCTTATATTAGTTAAAGTGCAAGGATGTTTCCTAGTGCTTAATGGAAAAACACCTCAGTGAGAGAGTCATGTTGATCTTGAATCCAATTAATTGAATGTTGGGGCTGTCTCATATAATGGACCCTGATTTCTATCCTACTTTTATATTAGGCATCTTTATATTTGTAATTTACGCTACCATATCTATTAAATTGTTGTAAATAACAAACCCGATTCGAATAAAAATTAAGGTTTGGGGGCCTAAGATAAACATAATATATAATTTAGGGCCTAATATGAGAAAAACCCTTGAATGTTTTACATTATTAAATTGAATTTGAAATTGGAATTTTTGATGTGTTTATATGATGTAATTGGGTTAATAACGGGGATTGTTTTGTTGTTTAAAAATGGGATAGTGCTTTTGGGTGGTCTTAAAAAGACACATTTGGAGTTTGGTCATGAATTTTTAGGCATTGAGACCACTACCATCGAAATTTAACTGCAAGTTAGGTAAAGGAATATGGGTTCGTTAGTAGTGAAGTCGCTGATTTAGCTGTAATTATTTCTTTTACAATGATTATAACTATGTAGGAATTTCTCTTTAGACCTATCAGCTTCATGTAAAATGAAATGTAGTTGTACAAATATATAAGCATAATCCAATATATCATGAAACTGACACACAAATTGATTCTCCTAAGAGGTTCAAACTGTAAAGCCTGCTCCTTACTTTGACATGTTGTACTTATTTCTAGGTATTTCCATCTAGAAATAGGATCCAAGGCTGTTATTGGAACTTCCTTGGCTGTAGGATTTTGGAAGTATTGTGTAATGACCGCAAATTCACTAGCCTATCACTTATGGAAATTATTTATGTAGGAGAACATCAAATTTCAAAAATTTACCTTTTTCTTGTTTGCAACTTATTATATGGCAAATAGTAGTTCCATTATGCTCATTAGTTTGAAATGTGAAGACTTGAGATACAGTGTAAGCCTTCTTGTGCAATAGCAACAAAACTACACAAAAAAAAAAATTAAATTAAATAAACAATATGACAAACAAAATTATATCTAAATCTCACCACATTGCTATACTGTTTCTCAATAAGAAGGAAAATGAAAGAGGGAAACCTCTGAGAGATAGATGTCTAGTATTTTGGGTTTGCTTAACTGGTTCAGTTAGTTTGTGTTAAATTAAGTAATGGGTTGGATCTAGAGGAACTAAAAAAATCACTATAGTCGGTATTCAGAGATGCATGTGTTTAAACAAATAAAATTAATTATGTCTAGTCCTCATGAGTCATGATGAGAACACATAAACCTTATTCAGTGTGATTGTTTCCCAGCTAAAAAGAGCATCCAGTGATAAATTCACCCCAAGCATTCAAGCGTATAGATAGTTAAGATAGTTACTATTAAACATATTTCATTTCTTTTTTTATGATATTATTGCCTTTAATTACATATACATTTGAATGTATGTCTCGATAAGTGAATGCTTCTTCCACCCCTTAAATAATTTTTGAATTATCTATTTTAACTGGAATGCTGCTAAATATATTGAATGATTTATCTGTACTAGTACAATAGGCAAATATTTATTCATAATATATCAAATAAAGGGTTAATGAGGATTAGTAATACCAATGATAGGTGACCTCCTCGCGGCAATAATATAGCTTCCTAGTGGTCTGTCTAGGCAATCAAGTGGCTCACATTCTAGAACTGTTGCTCTAAGAACTTTGATAGCTTGATACATATAACATCTTATGCTTTACGTATTCAGGTTTGGGTAGATCACAAAAAACTCCCCTGAGGCTTCTAGGATTCACGAAAAAGCCCTAAGATTTTATTATGATCATATGAGTGTCACCTTTTAATGACCAAAATACCCATATCTCCTATTGTAAATAGAAGAAGCAAACACATTTCTTCTTTTGCTTTGGAGTCATTTCAATATTCTTACCAGCTACCCTCAATGCAGGCAGTTCCAAGTGAACCTCCCATTTTGTGGTGAGTATTCCTTTGAGAAAGAAACATAAAAGAAAACAAAGGTTGCATAAATGATGAGAGAGCATAGAGCAATGCCATAGATACAAAATTTCTATAAATTTGAAGAGGTAATAATCCAACTTTTCTTGATTTTGTTTTTCCGAACATGTTATAGAAATATAGTATTTGAGACAATCATCCACAAAGACAATCAAGCAAGAACAATGACATAAAATGTTAAATTTCAGAATAGTTTCTATTACACATCCATTTCACAAATAGTTATTGATAGTATCTCGATTCATATCTGTTCTCCTTCAATTATGGTATTTTTACCAGTACATGTCATCACCTAAAAGTCTACAACTTTTGATCCCCTTATTTTTGCTAATTTTTCCTCCAGATTTTCAGTTAAATTGCCTGAACGCCATTTTCTCTTATGGGTTCAGAATTTCCAGGGTTTGAAATCCCAAAAAACCCCAATTTATTCTATGTTGTCTCCACAAGAATACACGTCCCCAAAGAATTTTGAAACAGATCAGGGATGATAGAATTTACTCTCAAAAATCTGCCGCGCCAAAAAGAAAAAAAGAAAGAAACCTAACATGGTGGGTTTCTTCTATTAAAAGATGGAATAAGGCTATTAGGGTATTCTAGTCATTAATGGGTCACATGAACAATTAATGAAAGGTTTAAAAGGATGGGGAAGAAAGTGTTACTTTTAGAACCTCAAGGGATTTTTTGTGAGTTCTACAAACCTCAGGGGGATTCTTTGTAATTTACGCATAAGGTTTGGTAATGTGTGGGTACACAAAATCATTCAGCTTAACTTTGCTACTAGTTTCATTTTGCTTCTTACAATTTTAATAAAAATATACCTGCATCTTTTAGTTTTACGAAACATAACAGGGAAGTACTGTTAAACCAAGATTGTCTTGGAAAATGGGAACATGCAATTGATGCAAGAAACAAGAAATGTCAAGACATTTTTTGCTTTATCAGCTGGTCATTGTTTTTTTTGTTACTCTAGGTTAGTGTTCTTTTCTCATGTGGCTATACACAAAGCCTCATATTATGCAAATCATGGCCTATTTTATTTGGGTTTATCAGAAAAGTCAGGTGAAACTACATATTTTCAGAAAAATGCTAACCTAAAATGACACAAGTATATCACTTTGTATTTCAGTTGCCGTGAAATGATTTGCACATAGCATTTGTTATAGTCAGACCTTTAATCAAGATCATAGACTGGCACTGGGGATCTATGTTTATGAAATACTTGGCTGTATCCCATAGGATCTTTCATAGTTTAGGCCCAAGATGAGTGGTCTCTAGCTACTGCCAACGTCCCAATAAGTGAGTAGAAGCCAGTCATGTTTTAAGTCCTGAATTTTGTCTCCGCATTAGGTATGAGTGGGTGACATTGGTTTTTTTAAGTGTTTTAGGTTTCTCTGCGTGTGATTATTTTTGTGCCCTACTGGTGGACGTGACTTAAGTTATAAGTATTAAGATCGCTTGTACAATGTTTAACCCATAATTTATCAACTTAAGCTTTTGATCAAAGTGGTTTGCTAGCCTTTTATTGGAGCATTGGACTTTTATCTGAACATCCTTTATCATCTTACATGTTTATCTTTCTACGAACTTCCTATCTGAAAGAACTCAATTATTTAGTGAGCTCTCTGACAAAGAAGAAGATGGATATTTGTAATAGATGTGTTACTTTCCATGAGTAAAAACTAGATGACAGATGATTTCCTGTTGGCTTGAAGGCGGACAGAATGTCTCTCTTGATTCAAATGTCAGGTTTAAGTTATAAAAAAAGAAAAAGAAAAATCCTATACATTACTTTTCGTATTAATACTCATATAGGGCAAAGAGGGGCACCTGCCATTTTGGGCTGGTGTTGTATTGATGGGGCAAATGGGAAACAGGGGGTGATTTTCCCCCTTTCAACACCCAGCACACCAATGCCAAAAGGGTCAGCCTGCTCCTCCCTATATGATATTCTATCGTAGGCCTACCTGTTTAGATTTTTTTTTGTGCGCCATTATTACGTCTGCTGACGCATCATCTGAGAAGTTCTTTGAGGCTAAGAGACGAGGGAAAACCAATATAATGGCTCTGAAGCTATCTCACAAATGCATGTTTTGATAATGAGGAAAAATGGACTGTGACTCAGTTTCTATAAATATGTATTCGTCTGATCCTATTGCCTATTGTGGACAGGATGTTTGTTGATTCAAATGCTGGGTTCAGGTCTGTGCACAACCATTTTCTGGAACTCCTTTAAAGCTCAAGAAACCAATAATCTATCTAAAATAATTGGAATATCTTGCGAATGGGTACGATGCTTTGATGATGACAGATGGACCATCACTAGGCACATATTTTAGCCTGGCTAGTTTGCAGAAGGAGATTTCGATTGCTTCAAATGTTAGTTAAAATCCATATATAACTATTTTCTGAGTTCCAAGGAAGCTTTAGGAGCCAAGATATATCATCTAATCTGGAGGAAATTCAGGGAAAAAGTCCAAAGTTGTTTCACTTATTCAACTACCAGGTTGAGAACTGTGTATAGTTCCCATTATGAGCTTCTTGTGTAATCTTTGGCATGCTCCTGGAAAACCTAAGTAGCCAAGGGAAATCATTTAAGGCTCATGGACAAAGGTGAAAGGAGTCTTGAATTTGCATTTACAAGAATGGTTACTACTATTTATTTATATAGTTTTAATTCTGATAGGCTAGTGTTATGTTGGAGTTCTGAAACTCTCAACTGGTGAATCCAAGGGAGACATCTGTAAGACGTTTGTTGATTTATGAATCTCTTTAAAATGCTCGGGGGAGAAAAAGTATGGATCTAATCCTGAGAAATTTTGGATAATAAATATATTAGAAACTGTGTATTGTCTAAGTATCATGTTCTTCTGGTAAAATTTTGTAGAACCAAGTGTATCAGAAGAGAATGTAAGTAGAATTAGAGATCTGGTTAGAGACTCTTTAAAATAACTATTTATTTGTTTCTAACTTATATGTTTCATTATGTGCAATTAATTTCTGGATCCAAATCATAGAATGGTTATATGTGTTGAGATGCTAGTTGTTTGAGATGCTGATTGTTTACTTCTCATTGCATGTTTGATCTAAAAGGTCTTATTTTGTTTCAGGAGCTAAACTGAAGTTATGTTTAGGTGATTGAAAACATCTGATGCTTATGTGGTTTTGATTTACAGGAGTTGATATCAGTATGAACACACATTTGAAGACTGTGAAGCTCACATTAAAAGGAAAGAACCCAGTTACACTTGATCACCTGAGTGTTAGAGGAAACAACATCAGATACTATATTCTCCCTGACAGCTTAAATCTTGAGACTTTACTGGTTGAGGAGACACCAAGGGTTAAGCCCAAGAAGCCAACTGCAGGTATATTCTATCAGCAAACCATCATTCTGATAGTAGCTTAATTTCAATCATAAAAAGAAAACTGAAAAAAGAACTTTTATCGGGATTTGCAGTTTGTATATTTTCGTAGTATAAAATCTGGACTTTTGCTATCTTCTAGAAGTTAAATGTGTACATGCTACCAAACTTTCCTCCATGTATCATGATTTGTTTGTCCAATGGAAGGGTGGGAGTTATGGAAATGCCAAGAAAATACCCAACTTTGTCTTATCAACAATTTAACATAAATAGTTGAAAAATAGGATTGATGACTTGATGTAGCAATTTGGTATGTAGGCTTTGTTGGTATTCTAGTAGTAGTGGTCACATAATAGTAAGCGCGTAATCAATCTAACAGTACCTCTAGAGTACGGGGTTAAGAGTAAAATTATATTTAACTATTTTATAAACTTACACTACTAAGTGACACAAAACATGAGGTCCTTCCTGGTAAATTGCTGTGGCAAATCATGAATGCCTAATTGTAGTCCAAAACTAAAGTTTGTAGTATGGTTAGCACTACTCTATGAAAGAGAGATCTACTGTATTTTATATGAGCAGCTTTAATATTTCTATTGTTTATATTTACTGCATTAAACTGACGTTTCTTTACTTATGGATCAGGGAGACCGTTGGGACGAGGGAGGGGAAGAGGCCGTGGTCGTGGACGTGGCAGAGGCCGTTAACTGCATCTGCTTCAGTTTCTCTGAATGCAGCATTGGTTCTCTACTAATGTCTAATGGCAGTCTTTTAATTTGCAAGATAATTGCACTTATTAGCTGTATTTCCTATAACCAATGACTGTGTTTTGGCGAGATGTAGTAGTAGATTTGGTAATTTGGTATCACTCAACTTTTGTTGTAAGTTTTCAGTAGACCATACGACAAAATTCACCCTATTAGTTTTCAGATTTGCACTTGGGGGGTGGGGGGGTAAGTGCTTCAACTGTTTGTTTCGTTTAGCTTGAAAATTTTAAAGTTATGTATTTTCGTTGCCGAACACAGAGTATTTACATCGATGGAAGAGTTGATATCCTTTTGGTATTCCTTTGAATGTCATATGCACATCTATTGTGAACCATTACGTATGCAATGGATGGACGACTCCATTGGGGATTTTTTTTTCCAGCAGCAATTCTATTAGAATCACTCCTACCTACGAGGAGTGGTCAACATCATTAAAAGATGAGTCGATTTCTAAACTAATCCTCTAGACATCTACTATAGATCACTCCATAAATGATCACACCATTTTATGGAGTGTTCTCATATAATCTTATAGCTTTTGCCTAATCTCATTATTCCTCGGTGGAATCAAAATATCAATCTTTTTAGAAAAAAGAAAAGAAAAAAAGATTTTTTTTTGATTAAATGAGGAAATCTACGGCAAATCAAATAGCATATAGAAGTCTAGTGGAAACTTGCCTTCTGAAAGGGCTTAAATTACCAGATTGGCATAAAAGTGACATTGTTACCAACATCTAAAAAGTGACGCTTGGGATAACAGGACATAAATAGTGACCATGTTCAACAATAAGTCATTTCTGGTCGCCTTTTTTTTTATTTGAACGTTAAAATTAAGGTCTTTTGGCATATATACCCCATAAATCTCCCATATTTATAGATTTATCCCAATTCTCATATTTAAGGACTTTTTACATCTTGTTGTTACTAGCATTACTTTTTCGTTTTTATTGGTAAAAGAATGTCACTTTTTATGCCAATCTGATAAATTTAACCATTCCAAATGTGTCAATCAAATAGAATATCAACAAATTTTTTACATATTTGTCCCCAAATCAAAGATGTTGGCAAATTTATCCTTCCAATCTAGTTATTTGGTAAATTAGTTTTCAATTCTTTCATATTAGTTGGAGTATCCTACACTGTATTTGAGAGTTTATAGGAAGAGAAGGAGATAGCAAGGGGAAGTTTTTAAAAATAGACCTATTTACAATTTTATTCCCCAAAATCGACCCATTGCCAACTTATTTAAAAAAATCGAGCCAGTTTCGACAACGTCAGCATCGTAGCTAGAAAATATGTCAATTTAAAAAAAAATATCACTTTATAATTAGTCGAGGTTGGCAACCCGACTAATTAGAAGCCACCTCAAATTGATCAGGTTCGCCAACCACAACTAATTTGAGCTGCATTCTAACTTGTTGGGGTTGGCAATCCTGATGAGTTAGACAATAGTTCAATATAGTCAGGGCCGCTAACCCCGACTATATTTGAACCCTCTTCAAAATAGTTAGGGTTGCCAATCCTGACTATTTGGCAGAGAGTCTGGTCTCTTCTATGATAAAAATTTTTGCCTCTATAATAGTCGGGGTCGCCAACCCCGACTAGATTGGAACACTCTCCAAAATAGTTGTGGTTGCCAATCCAAACTATTTGGCAAAGACATCCGTCTCTTTTGTGCCCAAAATTCCTGGTTAAGTATATAATGATTGAGGTTGTCAACTTTGTCCATATTACAGACACCTCCTCCCCGTTCTTCCTACTTTGACAATTTCTCTGTTACATCACATCTAGTCCAAATCAATTTTTAGTCATAACTCACACAACCAAACATGATAAAATTAACCACTCATAAAACCACACAGAGAAAACAAACCATTAAATTTCATCATGTCTGCTTCAAATATATATCAACTCAATTCACAAACCAAAACAAACATATATAAACTCAATTCACAAATCGAAACAAACATATATCAATTCAGCAAATAATAAGAACTTCTCTCTTTCATCTCCCCCTCCCTCATTCTTATCCCCCCTCAACATGAGCTTTGATGATCTCATTTGTCTGGTTGTGTGTGAAGTGTTAGACCCTAAAGGGGGGTGAGGGGGGGGGGTGATTAGGGTCTTATGATAATCTAATCCCGATTAAATGCCAATTAAAATTATATTGATTAATTTGTTCTTATGAGATATGGATATGAACAAGAATGATATGAATAAGCACAAATAAAATATACGCTACGTAAAACACAAACACACGATATGTTTACGAGGTTCGGTCACCACAACCTACGTCCCCTCTCCTCACCTCGAGGAGATCTCCACTATCACAATATGGTTTGGAAGCTGGAACTTCTACACACTCGATTTACAAGTTTACCGAAAATTCTCACACAACAAACACTATGCAATCATACTTTACACACTAAGTATAGGAACCTAGCCCGTGTCCTCCTCCTCAAGTGCTCGGATACAACCTCACCCTAGGTTCGTCAACCGACGCCACTCCTATTGGATTCGACCCCGTCTCATGCCTCACACTTCTCTCGGTGTACAAGTGTATTACAAGTGATACTCACAATAATGGTTAAATACAATGATATGTTCTCGATAACAAATGAGAACGCAATGAAGCTCACTCTCACTAAATCACACACCACTACCCACAATATATAGTATGGAAATATTATAAGCTCAATAAGGTGTGTGTGATAACAGTGAATGAAATTATGCAACTCAATTAAATATAGCTAAGTTATGAAAATGAATCAATAAGCTATATAAAATGGAGTTTAGAAAACTTTTCAATAAACAAGAAGAACAGTAGATGATGATGAGGATATGATCCTCAGTTGGAATTGAAAGCCTCTTCTTGTTGTAGAAAACTTCTTTTGAAACAGACTAATGAAATCAGCTTAAACAACTCTTAATCTTTTGTTAAAAACTTATTGTAAAATAAACTCTTAGTTGTTGAAAGAGGAAGGCAATGGGGTATTTATACCCACTCAAGATATCATCCAAAACAACCTTGAAAAGACCAAAATAGCCCCAGAGAATCAAATCAAAATATAGCCGTTGAAATGTAATGATGAGTTTTGCGGTCGATCGTGAGAAACTGGCGGTCGACCGTGAAGCACAAAATATAGTACAAACAGCTTTGAAACACTGGCGGTCGACCATGGCGGTAGACCGAGAAAGTCTCTGGATTGAGTCACGGTTGACCGTCACAGTCGACCGTGATCCAATAAAAGGCATATTATGATAATTAACTACTGGCGGTCAACCGTGGCAGTCGACCGCAAACTGATACATGTCAAAATACAGGTTTTGGGCTGATTTCGAAAATACGTTAAAAATATCAAATCAATTCCAAAAATAGTAAAACTTTGGGAAAAGTTTCTAAATGATAAAATAAACATGTTTGAAAAGAAATTTTTAGAAATGCAATTTTCGTTTGTAAAAACTCACTGTTTTTAAAAAGTGTTCATAAAACCTGTTTTTCGCGAACATGAAAATTGAAATATGACTTGTAAACTCGTGTATATATACCATGCACACATTATATATATTATGAAATATGAAAGAGATGTAAACATGAAATAAAAACTATTGTACCAAAGTTTGATGAAAAGTCATTTGTATGATAGAAAAAGTCAATGTTGTGTTTACATTTTGAGCTTAAATATAAACATACGATATATGTAAGCAAATTACTCTTATACCTAGGTGAATGCACACACATGAACTTGAATCTTTAACTCTTGATTGTCGTGTGTTGAATTCCTGTAAAGAGAAAAACAAGCCACAAAAACTAGAAAACATATTAGTTATAAATTGTTTGACAAATCATCATCAAAACCATAGGACCAACATGAAGTTGTGAATGCATGGCATTCTCCTCTACTTGAACCCACTATGAAGGTCCAACTTCTTCATGTGCGTGACTTTAGCTTAGCCCGGTATGTCCTTGCAATCATCGACTCTCGTATATTAGAACTCGCTCTGAACGTCCATCATGATCTACATGATACATCTTCCTAAGAGCAGACTGAATCTTTCCTATAATGCGTACAAATTCATTCCTTACTTTTTGCTCGGTAGTCAATCTCAAGGCATCATATGCAGTAGAAGCTACATCATCAAGTTCTTCTACCTACAATATAACAATCGGAACGAAATGTTTGTAATATAACCATGGAAAAATAATAATCACAAAATAAATCTAGATTGTCTATCTACTTACCGGTGCTCTCTCAATTGGACCCCTCGGCATGTATGCGGAATGTGCCTTGTCCTCCTCATATATCCATCGATGAGTAATCCCCCAATACCAACATATATGCACATCTAGGTTTCGAGTCAGCTCTCTCCATCACAATAGCAGCCCCCCTCCAATCCTAATCTCTGATGTATGATTGATAAATTATCTCAGTATGAACTCCATAATACTTAAATTTTAAATTGCCCATTATGTTTTTTTCTCTTAAATTTTAAATTGCCCATTATGTTTTTTTCCCGGCAAATGAATATAACTTCCAAGGACATGTATAATTACCTATATTTTCAATCTGTTGACATTTCCTTCTATATTCATAAAACAAATTGCATCAAATTACTTTTAACCTTCTTGAATTTAATATTAGTGTCGATAAAGAAATCACAAATAACATCAACGGAATTTCTCCGTAGTCTCGAATAAATCTCCAACTTTAAATGTAAAGTCACCATCTCTTTTGCAGTTTAATTCAACTAAAATTAACATTTTCTACTATGAAAGAATGAATCTACTCATCATCTTCAAACACAGCAGAAGGTGGATCTTCGTATCTCAACATATTCATTGTTAACATAAGTCTCGTCAGGCCATCTTAGGTTCTCTTCAACATCTTCAATCACAAATTGCATATTATCAATTGGTGCATCATCTTGTTCTTCACCTTGGGAGTCGTTGCTCCTTTCATCCTTTTCAATTGACACCCCATTAACAGTTTCATATCTTGATATAGAGCTTTATTGTTCATGGCACTTGACATTTCCGTGGTTGAAGACCTTCTTAGATGTTCAAATTGAGTCATTTGCATTTCACTTAGAGATGAAAGAAAACCATTAGGTCAACTCCTAAGTCTAAATGTGTGAGAACTCTTCAAGATGTTTCAACATACGACCCGAATTGAATGAAAAGTTTTTAATGAATCATTCTATAGATGGTTTTGTCTTGCTCAAATTCAATATTATATTCGTCTAATGATCATTTGAGATCACAATCGTGG